TTTTTCTATAATAATTATATAATAATTATAAAAATACAATTTTAAACAGAATTAAATATTATTAAGACACACATATTATAAAAGACACACATAGTCTAAAGGACATTAGAATTGTGATAAATCACAAAAATGTTACGAGATAAGCTCAAAATTTTAATAACATTTGCGTAAAATTGTTAATCTTTAATAATCTGATAGTTGATCTTTGGTGTATGTATGAAAATGTTTTTGTCTCTTTCCTTCCTCCATTTCTTATTCGCTTTCTTTCTTTTCTTTTCTTTTTCCTTTTCTCCTGTGATTAAATCCGTGGTGAAACCTTGTTTTGTGATCGAAAGTACAGAAATAGATTCTATCTTTAGCAGAGAAAAACCCTTTCATCTATATTATATACTCTTATGTATCATGTATCGTTATATACATGCGGTCGGAAATGTCGCGTTATGCAGATCAATGTCGGGCTTAATATAAAAATACCAAGTGGAGGTCGAGTTTTTCTCGTTCGCGGTAAATGTCAAATCGCGCGAGAGGCCATTTTCCTCCCTGAAACGCTTGGTCGCGTCTTGCGCACGTACCGCGTACCGCGCAGCATACACGCACACATACACGCACATTGTATACTCGAGTTTCCCGCTGTTCCGCTGTATCCTACAGCTGACGTGTATACGTACGTGTGCTGATCTGCGGTCGCGCGGAGAGGAATGGTACACAACGGGCGCGTTAAGACGGGACCACACCACCATACGGGGGGCACGTAGGTTCGGAGATAAGTCGAATCTCCTTACAAACGACGTTCTCGCATAACCTCGACGTCGTCAGCGGCGATTAATTGGCGCCGAATGCACTTCGGAGTCATAAGCCCCCGCTGAGCCTACTCCAGGCGATTTGCCTACTCCGAAAGGTGAGTGGTACCCGTGTCACTATTCGTCGTAACACACGTACGCGATTCGAAAAGTCAGCATTAATTTGTTCCCCGGGGGAATGTGTCAAACGGATTCTTCTGTCTTCGCGATATGTCCAAACTGGAAAAAGAGTCAAACGGAAAGAAATAGCAGTGGAGTACGTAGCGACGAGCAATGTCGAATGTGTGAAAATGATGAAATCATTTAGATGGATTTATGATTTCTGTTCAATATATGCAGCACTGGCTTAGAGTATCGATGATCTTATTTATCATCGATAACAATGATATAAATAAGATTTGAATTTACATGTTCTAATGCAAAATCGAAAAGCATATTCTAGTTATTTTATTCTTCTTATTTGAGAATTAGCATTATTCAAACAAAATGATAAATGTCCAAAGATAAAAAAGAATATATGAATATATGCATTTGTTTGCAGATGTCGTTGACATTTCAGCAGATTATATTGGATGCCAAAAAATTGGTCATTCGAATTTCAGATCATGAGAATACAGCAGACACACTGATAAGCGAAGTAGAAGCTGTATGTGGACAAATTGATAACATGAAGCAGGTAAATGTATACATGTACATAATAAATGCTTAATATTACAAATTCTAAAAGCATGTACTATATTGTAAATTTATTATTATGATTGTTCTTTTCTTTTCTTTGTAGTATCAAGAGGAAGTAGAAATTTTAAATACAGAAGCAAAGCAAAGGCCACATTTGCAATTGATTGCTGGAATTCAAAGAGAAAACAAACATTTGCGGGAAATACAAGCAGAAAATAAAGAATTAAGAAATGCATTAGAAGATCATCAGCATGCACTTGAACTCATAATGTCCAAGTACCGACAACAAACTGCCTCCTTATTACGTCTCAGCAAAACGGATTATTCATCCATGCATAATTCAAAGTATGCCAATGTAAGTAGGTTTCTACATTAAATAATATGTGAGTTAATATCTTGTGAACGACAATCAAAAAGTTTAAATCGATAAACGAGCAAAATATAACATAAATAACACATGAAAATATTTATTAAGATAAAAAAAATAAATATGAAAATTGATAAATAAATTTAAAATATTGTACGTTCTGGGTTATATACAGCTTTCTGCAGTAAAAAAATTTTTATAAAGAAATTTAACAATGTACGAAGATATTATATTAATATTAAACAAAAAATAAAAAATTGATATGAATAAATCATGGGTGTTTTTTATTTATATCAACTTTTTATTTTCCATTTAATATCAATATAATATCTTTATACATTACTAAATTTCTTTATAATATTTTAAATTTATTTATCGATTTACATATTTATCTTGTCTTAATAAATATCTTCATGTGTGTCTTATAAGTTTTGCTCATTTATTGGCCTTGACTTTTTGATTATTATTTACACTCACGAACTGTAATATGTATTTTCTCTTATTTAACATCTTATTTTACATTATTTGTAAAATAGATTTGTTTATTATTATATTGAATTGAAAATTTTATAATGCAAACAATAAAAAAAAATATAGTGTAGATATAATATATAAATATAATATGTAAATATGTATTTAATTAATATTTTATGTTAATTTACAGATAATAACCAGTCAAGCAGAGAAAATTAATGAAATGGCAGCTGTAATGAAAACAGCTGCTGCCTTAGATGAAGAGAATGAATTGAAAGAAAAGGAGGTGTTGCATTCTTTAAAAGAAGAGAATGCCACGCTCCGAGAAATAGTAAATATTGCAAATAAATACGGTTCCTTAAACAAAGAATGTTCTGTAGAAAGCAAAATCGTTCAAACGGATCCACTAATAGATTAAAAACAAATTTACGTTTAGAATTCTCGATTCTTTTTATAAAAAGTTGACCAGTATTTATTTCACACACACAACTTGTGACATATTACATTACTTATTACATAGAATCTATTACACACATAGATGAGAAATGTATGTGCAAGTGTAGTATACATATACATATTAAAGATTTGTAAAATAAATTGTACAAGCTGTTTGCAACTATATATTTATCTTATAATTTGTATCATTTATTATTAAAATTATGATAATGCAGTTTCTTTGTATTTTTTTCTAAAATGCGATATTCTTTTAAAGACGAATGTCATTAATCTTATAACCAGAAGATCTTGTTCAACTTTTATTTTAAATGTTTTTTTTTTTTTAAAGAAATACGTTAAAAAAAATTACTCGCTATTTTTTTACTATTGGTGTCATAAAATACGAGGTATTGTTTTTTATAACGGCGGACTTATGGAAAGAATAACCTGGGAAGAAGGTTGACATTTTTGCTCTCAGCAAACAAATTTATTCGCTATACGACAATTTTTCATACATAAAAAAATTTCAAAAATTACTGATACAAAAGTAATTTATTATATTATATCAATACAAATTCTTTTTTAATTTAAAAAGATTCGTTTCTTTTCCTTCAAAGAAGAAATATCACTTGTTTTTTTAACTCTTTACTTTTTAAGTAACTTTCTCTACATTTGTTCTCAAGAATGCCCCTAACCAAAGGGTAAAAAAAATAGCGCGAGAGAGGGTTCATACGGAAAATCTATAATTTATGACAAGTACTTTTGTCCCATTTCCGTGGAATATGCTAAAATTTGAAAAAAGATATTCAGAGTGTCATAGACACACAGTATGTCAAACGCAATGTTATTACCTCTAATATGTGCTTCTTGACTAAAATGTCTAATTTTGTATATATAATGATTGTATGAATAATGATAGACATATCATGGAAGTCATATAAATAAAATTTTTTATACTCTAATTTTTCCTATCATGCGCCGCAGCTTCGAGACATTTTATATTATTTTCTCATTATGTGTGTATGTGCAGATAAGATAGATCTTGTTTAAAGTTGTTGAGTAAAATAAAAAATAAATGAATAATTAAAAATATATTTGTATTTAATGAAAAGGAAAGAAAATATCGGCAGCATAAGATGCCAAGTCTTTTATTTAGCTATTCCGGTCTATTAATACACAAAATAAAACTTTTACGATCCCCAGGATACTTGCAAGTCCATTTTATTTTGTTTCTATAATTTATTTCTTTTACAACCCGCTTACATTCTTCTTTCTTTGAATTTTCGTAACCCTTTACACAGTAAAAGACTTCTAACTTTCTCTTAACTCTTTTATGAAATTGCTTATAGAACTCTACCGCATCCTTGCCTTCCATTCTCAATAATGCTAACGCGATAGAATGGCGTTAATGCCAGATTTTTTTCTTCATTGTTGCGAATATTACGTTTTCTCAACATCGAACACAGAAAAAATAATTTTATGATACAAACCCTCCGAAATAATGACCGTCCTTTTCGTTTCCTTTTTTCTTTTTTTTTTAAGACATACTGAAATTTTGAACTTGCGAAGAAACGATTCTCAGAAAGAGAAAAACAGTGTACATAAATTGAAATGCAATTTCAAAAGGGTTAAACAAACCTTGATTTTTTAAATCCTGAAAAATGAAGCGCAGCAAAAAGAATTATTTCGACCTAATGTATTAAAAATATTTTATGTACAAAAATGTAAAAATAAATGCATAAAGATGTAATGTAAGATGTAAATGTATAAAAACTATAAATATACATTCCCTTGCGTTTGACAAAAAATAAAAATATTTTGAAAAAGTATTTAAAAAATTTATTTTGCAACTGCGTATAATTATAAGTTGTAACATTACTTCATCTCGTATTACAATCTTACTTTTCGATAAATTGTTCTGATTTCTTAGAATTTTATCAGTTATATTATTGCTTCTCATTGTATGTTTGTTCATAAATAAGATAGTATTTGAAAAACAGACACATGTGTGTACATGTGCGTGTGCGTGTGAGCACCAAATTTTTCCTGAAATGACGCCATACGTACATACATACATACATACACACACGAGATACTTTAATAGTGATACTGTCTTGCGCACTTAAACAAATCGGTGTGTTAATCGTACGTAATTAGTGTGTTAACGCATTTGAATCAACCGGAAATCGCTTCTCTATCAGTTGATTTTCTCGATTCGTCGCGAGCGATAAAGGCGATCGAATCACGCGATTAATTATACGCAATTTTATAAACGCGATTAATCGCCTAAAATAAAATGTGTTTCCTCGAGCATGCCATCGAGAGGGTTTAACTATCGGCTGCAACCCACACGTTCTGTGCATCATTAATGCAGCTGTAGATGCTAAGGGCGCATATTGCATTGGAAGGATGTGGGAGAGACTCGATCTAGGGAGCGGGGTAGCTGGAAACTTTATACCAGCACCGGATTGCAGTTAACTACGGGGTGTCCCACTTCTATTTTCATTGAACATTGAACAGGAATCAGCGAACTGAATCACAAGATTGAAGAAATGCAAAATCGTACGTCATTAAATGACATCTTCATCTATACATCTATACTGATTTAAATAAAATGGAATGTTTAAAACTCTGCAAGTCTATTTTAGGACTGTAAAGACTGTTAATTAATTGTCAGATAATTTCATCATTTCATCATTTTTCGCTATAACTTGTGACAAGTGACAAGTAATGTCACTGTAACAAGTTATTTATATTACGGCTGTATAAAAATATAATTAGCGACGTTCTTGTTTGTTTTTGTGTAAAAGAGATTTTACAATCAAATCCAATTATAGATAAATATATTAACTTCTAAAGCAAACTCGTTTAAATTTAACTTAATTTAAAGAATCAATTTTCGGTTCTTTTCTGCTTCTTTTAGTTTCAAAATTACTCCCCATCGAGAAGAAGAACAGTGTACATGAAAAGCATCATTTTCGGAAAACTTTCGTAAAGAATACATTTGTCAACAGTTGCCGAAATCTTTAACAGGCATTTCGCAAAAGTACGAAATGATGAGAGAGTCGGGCTATTTTTTCACAAAACCTGCTGTGCTTTTGCTGAATTCCATGTTCAAGTCATGATTGAAACAAATGCGCGGACACCCTGTATAACCGCTGCACACGCTCATGCTCGCTCATGCACGTGACACGCACGTGAAGAAAGTAACTTACACACAAACGGGCGAGCAATTCACGCGTCTATGCGTCTCGTTTTCTTTCGAGATTCTCATTGGACAACCCTATTCATCAAGGTCATCCTCCCCTTTTCCCGGCCTCGCTCTATCTCTTTCTTCATTCTCCATTCTCCCCTTTTTTATACACCATGTTGTCGGATGCGATAGAACGTATTTTTTTTTTTAGAGTGGTATGCCCTTGGAGCCAACAATGACCGACTCGCCGTTTCCTACGCTATCTAACAGCGTGGCACCTGTTACGGCCGCTGCTCTTTTCGATCCGATCAGCGATCATCGATTTTCTACTTCCACCACTGCTGCGGACATTGATCCCTATTGGAACACACACAGTACCACCTTTCGCTCTTTTCCCTCAATCTCTCTTACAATAGTATTCTTGCGACTTTTTTCAGAAAAATTTTTAATATCTCGGTAATAGTACAACTATTACATACATATTTATCTTTTAGCAAATGGATTCAGAGCCATCATAAATAAAGGGTCATTTGACGCCTCATTTAATCGGTTGCCTGACCAAGGTTTGCGTAACGTGAGATCTTAGGGCCGAGGTGAACGAACTGTTCCAGGAATTTTGCCGTATTTTGTCTTTGGCTGGCTAACAGGCAGCCTCAAGAGAGAGAGGGAGAGAGAGAAAGACGAAGTCTTCTCAGTGGGGATCCTCACGCCGAGTTGCGTTCGTCTCGAAAAAAAAATGAACGGGAGCGGCCAATGCATTGCTGTTATCGAACCTGTAAAACACTATAAAAATGGAATATTAATTTCTCTCCGACTTGAGAAGTTCGTCAACCTTCTTAAGTTCTCTTATATTTTTCTTTTTTCTTTTTTAGAG